ATATATTATCGACAGAATAATACGAGAGTTTGACAGGGACAGGTAGGGAGAGGAGGGTGGGAGCTGGAATAGAATAATAGTAGTAGTAATAGTAGTAGAAGAAGAAGAAGCCGATTGGTAGAATCGTGAAGGGTAAATTTGTGGAGGGGGAGGAATGATCTAGATACAGAAAGAGATAGAAAGAGAAGAATTTGTTATATACTTTGTCGAACGTGATCCATGTAATGTACTATGAGAAAAAGAAAGAGAAAGAAAGATAGGGAAAGAGATAGATAGATAGATAGATATAAAGTGAGTTGGTTTTAAGCCGATAATGGATCTAGCCGGAAAACATTCCTGGATTAGTACAGTCGACGATTGGCTGCGTTAGTCTGCGTAAGTAGGCTTACTGAAGAAGAGGAAGAATTAGAAAGAGAAAGAGTGATGAAGAGGAAGGAAGGAAGGAAAGGGGGTGGGGAAAAGAAGGGTAGGGCTTGACCAAAAAAAAGGCGGGGGGAGGAGGAGGAAAGGTACATCAGTGCAACAACTATAACGGATTTACACGCTCGCAAGGCGTGTAATCAGCTTGAAAGATTAAGTCTGCCCTGAAGTCGAGTAACGTGGTAAATCCAACGATGCTTATTGGCTCTTATAAAAAATGAAAATATATATATATATATATATATATGGTGAGTGTGTGTCTGGATAAGAGAGATTAATCTTTTTTTCTTTTTTATTTTCTCTTTCATTCTTTCTTTCTTTTTCTGTTCGTCACTCGTCCTTTATTTAAAAAAAGGGTCATATTTAAAAAGAATATTTAAATTCGTTTAATATGTATATATATATATGTGTGTGTTGTGTGTAAGGTTTGATATTTTTCTTTCATTTTGTTGTTTATTATTTAATAATGTTTATATTTAAAGTTATAATTTGATAAAGTAATATAAGATATAAAATTGTAAATGTTTATAATTGTTCAGATTGATTATCATCGTATCATACTTCTTAATATTATTAATTTACAATGATATATATATATATATATTATCTCGAATTATTTTATTATACTTTTTTTTATTTGCACATAATTCTTTATTTTTTTATTCGAACATTTTGACCAAAGAAAGAAAGAAACAATGAAAGAAATGGAAACAAAGAGACAACATATTACTAGGATGATTCAAAAACCTTCTTCTTCTTCTTCTTCTTCTTCTTTTTATTTTTCTTACACAGAATAGAAAGTCTCGACGTAAAGTTACGGATAAAGAAAAGGATACATGGATGTATATAAGAGTCGCGGATAGTATAAAACATACTTACATACATACACACACACAAACAAACATACAGACAAGATGCACACATATATATGTGTACTTTTGTGCTGGCTAAGCGTATATAGATAAAGTCTACCCGGATTTTCGTGCATTTTTCACTAGACAGTAGTATACCCTGTGTGTTGTATCGTGGCTGAGCGTACATTGACCTATACTACTTAGCTGATTCAAACTCTTAAGAAAAAGAAGACTCTACTACGAGTAAAAAAGAAAGAGAGAGAGAGAGAGAGAGAAAGATAGAAAACGGTGAGATTAACCATTACTGTCTCACAACATTGGTCTTTCGATTCTGTTTACTTGGCGAAACTATAGTTAAACGGGATGAAGTAAAATAAAAAGGGAAAATATGGAAGGAGAGGAAAGAAAAAAAGAAAGAAAAAAAAAAAAAAGAAAAAAGGTTTAGAGCCTTAAGTTGAAACTTTTGGGGTGGGGGGGAAGAAGAGTTTGAAGTGAAAGAAAAAGAAAAAGATTAAGAAGAATACGAAAAGTAATATTAACGCGAGTTAGCGTGAGATTAGTATTACGAGATATCTCATGTTGTTTCTCTTCGTGTATTGTTATAATAAATATTTGTTGGTAAAAATGGTTTATTAATTATTATCAACAAATTGAAATTAATTTGTAAAAACAAAAACATATAATAACTGACGAATTGTAAGGGGTGGAGGACTGGTACCAGAGGGTGGTTTGCAAGAAAAAATATCTCAAATCCGCAATGTTTTTTAATAAATGAATAAATATATATATTGTATACCTTTTTTACTTTATCATTTTGTTAAATATTCTAAAAATCATTTTATAAACGCATACTAAAAGGGGGGGAACGTATATTTATATTCCTCGGTATACTACGATCCTTTCTACAACGAGGAAAAGGAATTTCTACTCTCTCTCTCTCTCTCTCTCACTCACTCTTTGAAATATTCCATCACGGTATTTAACTTTACGCTTTTCGAAAATGGCCGAGTTTACCCAGCTAAATGCCTTGAGAATGTCTCGTTGAAGAATTTTACCAACTCGTCGTCCTACGGAATGCAACAATCAAGAGGGTGGAAGTTTGAGAGGGAGATGGAGAGGTAGGGAGGTAGGGAGGGGACCTGTTCGTTGTGTTCCAATAATTGAATTGCATTCGACTGTACTAATTTTGTGTTTATTTTGACTAAGATTCGAAATATTCGTTAACTTTTT